CAAATATAACTCTCATCATATGCAAATTAACCAAGTTCAAAATTTTATATCTGATAATGGAAATCCAAACTAGTCCTGATTCACGGTGTTGATGAGCTCATTCGTCCCACCATCATTATCTATTTCATACTGGCCCAATACAGTCAGAATTCCAAGTTTTTTTAGTCATAGAGTGTTGGAAATCCAACCTCATCAACCGGTATGTGGTGAGATAATTAAGCTAGGCCATATTTTATTCAGTAGCCATAACTGCCTGGATTTCCAGAATTTTTTTTTCCATTCTCGTCTGGATTTCCAGATTCTGTTTCTCCATATACAGTTGGAAATCCGGGGTATTTTCCCCATCATACAGTGCTGGAAATCCGACCTCATCAACAGGGGGGTGCAGATATAAACTGGAATGGCCCATTAAATGATAGAAACATTGCATTTCTACAGATGCAATATTATTATTACAAAATTCAGGAAAACATTAAGTACAGGTGGATTTTGAAACAAAAATTTGACTACACTACATATTATGGGCAGTAGGACATACACTAGTAGATTGTAACTGGATGCAAGTAAATGATAATATGATATTTTTATTTGTAAATTTTCAAACAAAACAAGTTTATGTGACAGTATATGTAGTAGTACATAAAGTAGTCTGTTGGGAACTTATTTGATATAGAATGTTTTCAAAACAGGTCACATAAGCTACTCAAAATAATTTGATATGGCAGTTGTGGACTTGTTGCATGCACTTGGATGCTTAGGTAATAAAACATGATGCAGGAGACATTGAATGTTTGCCACAGTTACCCATCCCTGTATTGTCTTTGGGAGAATTTATAGAATATCATCCATTACAATAACTGATTTGTATGTAAAAAATAAAGCATATCTTACCGTTTGTAATGATAGCACTAGTTGCAGGTGGTACTTTGAACTAGGAGAAATAAAAGGAAAGGCTAAACATAACTTCTATGCAAAACATCAATTACTACCTTATTAAATGTATTGCCATGGTTTAAAAAAATCAACAAAAATATAAATGTGTTGCTGTTGTCTTTACATGCACATTACTTTCATTCATTGGCTTATACATGGTCTCATATTATAT